GCATGGTTAACATTTTCTGCCAGAACAATGTACATCAGGTAAAACAAGCATTCTAATAATTTCCTTACTGAATATGCTACTTCGGACAATAAGCAGAACACATACCCAACTTGTATTACCTCAATTGAAGTGCTCTAGAAATGAGTGATCTTTCCACAATTCTGGAAAATACAAATACAGGTCCCCTCTTTCGTCATTGTTTTGTTTTTCTTTTTAAGAGCTCCTTGGGTCAGTGTGGCCTGAAGTAATTCCAAACAGACTAGGATACTCATATTATAAAATTCATGTATTTCTTTTAACGTTAAGACCTACATCCCATAGCCGTAAAGAGATTATAAGGATTCTAATAAGGGAAAAAGAGATGGCAAATCTATGGCTGTAAGAAGCAAACTTCACATCATTAGAGGTATATTAATGACGGACCCTAAAATACATGTTTTAAATATTGGCTTTGACAAACCCAGAACTTGCGGGTTACTTGAGCTAGTGTACATCCTGAAAGAATTAAATCTGAATTCATATGAAATAGGATACTTTGGGAAGGAATTTCATCCTTTATTAGTTCTATCCAGGAAAAAAAAAAAAAAAAAAACACTTGTTACTGTGTAAAGTTCCACAGTACACGGACCTGAAGAATGGGCCCTTGCTTTCTCCTCTCACCCAATGCTCTAACTGCTTATCAGTCTCACTGATGCTAAATTGAGGAAACAAACTAACATTGCTGCACCCTGTCCCACATACTACAGCCAAAAACATTAGGACTCTAAACAAAAGGAACGTGATAGGACAATTCAGAGAAAGACCTGAATTCACCCACATCATCACCCCAAGGAAGTTGAAGAAAGTAAAGTTTTGTGAAGCAAATCAAGTGAGGATGGTACCCTAACTAAATATAATGTTCTCGCTAAATAGATATAGTTCAAGAATTTATAAAGAAGTTTCCATATAGAACACGAAAGATTTTATTAATTCAAGAAAACTGGGTTCCCAATCCAGATTACCCTATGTGACTTTTGTCATTGTCATCTTTTCTGATTCTTACAAAGTAACCCTAATTAAGAACCTCCCTCATTAGTCTTCCAGAAAAATTAGCACAGCTTATGCTAATTACTCCTGCAAAATTTAATAAACTGGTTGAAATGGGAATAGTCTAATGAGGTTTTATTTATTGAACTAAGATAACTCCAAAGAAAAAGGTTAGGACACAAGGATATCCAATGTAGTATTAAACTACATTTTATTCAATTTCTAAATAGGAATTTTATTGCAAACCTTTTAAATTCAAATATGAGTTAGTGTGTGACTATGTTAAATCAATCTCCATCTTAATTCAATAACTGGAAATCATTTTTTGCTTTTTACTTTAACAGTAATTACCACACACAGATCTCTACCTCAGTGATAATGAAATTTGCTGTTATTAGTTCCTGGTCATCAACTATTAAAGAACACATTTGGCTTTCTTTTTTTTTTTTTTTTTTTTCATATTTTAGGGAAGGGTCTACAGGGTGTTCAAGGGTCTCACTACTAGATCAGACTCATAGTGATTCTCCTGCTTACAGCCTCCCAAGAGCTGGGATTACAGGCGTGCACCACCATGAGACCAGAGTCTCATTCGCCATCTCAGTGTGCCCCCAGGGCAGGGCCACTATGGCAGGCCCAGGAATCAAACACCCAGCTCCTGTGCCTGCTTGCAGGCACTTTAATCCACTGAGCTATTTGGCCGGCCCACATTTAACTTTTTTCTGTGTCTGCCCAACCCAAATGTCAAGATCCTTGGGCACACCTGTGCTTTGCGAGTCTTAATCAAGCTTATTGGCATCAAGCAGAAACGGAACATAGCAGTCAATTCCAGACACACATACTGGCTACATTTTATAGCAGTTTTCCTGTGAACTTTCTTGTAGTGACTTGACAAATTGACGTAATTGTAGAAAAAGAATTGAGGCCGCACTTTTCTTACTCTGTTGCATGTCACTAGGTGGAAGTCGAAATTCATTTCCTAAGTTACAGCACACATGTGTTGATTTGGTTAATTCCACTGCCTGATAGAATAGGTCAAGGTGATGTCTCTCAACTGCGACAGCAAATCACACCCAAAATCTGACACAGAAATAGCTTGTCCCGCACCATCGCCATAGGACCAGAAAGCCTGGCCTCTCTGTGCTATGAACGGTTTTCCACTGCAGAAAGTTTCTGATAGACAGCAGAGCAGTGTTCTCCCTGATTCTAAAGGATGCACAGGAGGAACTACGACATCCTGATGCCCGAAAGGTGACCGGCTGTCACAGCCATGCCGAACCAAGACTGTCTGCGCTCTTAGCTCTCCAAATGCAAATTGCACACATCTAGCAAAAGCAACCACCATTGCTCCCGAGTGTAGGCCCCCTGGCCTATTTTTATGAAATATTCAGGGATCTGCATTCATAAATCTGAAGGCAAATCAAACCCTAAGCACATAAGAGGTATTATACAATCAGAACAGACTGAAATCAGAAACGATGAAGCCCAACCTCAGCTGCCATCATTTATTTTTTTCTTTTACAGCAATTTCGCGGAGCTGAAAACTCTTCTCTACTTTGCCCTTCCTTACATAAGTTCTTCTCTTGTTATTTTCTTCCCTTGACAAAAATAGAAGTTTCACATATCAGCATGGACAGAACTAGAGGTTTTAAACTTTTGGCAGACTGAAAGACAAATAAATTCTGAAAACTCAGATGCAAATAAAAATAGCTAAATGGGGCTTCATACATGAACTGGTAACACTGCCTGAAAAGAGAGTTCGTGCGACCCAGGGGCGACAATCAGCAGGTAAGTGTATGTGTGCACACGCACTGCTTCAGCTGTTTGTAAAGTACTCCTCGATCTACAGAGACCACAATTAGCTACACACTCTTTTCTGCTCATGCAACCAAGGGGGGGATGGGGGTGAAAAGGATAAATGTCATGAGCGATATCTCTAAAGCCACCAACAGCATAAAGTGCATACTTATTTTGCCTAAATTGTTTGAACTACCCCAACCAAGAAAAGGTTTTAAGTACCCTACTGGGACAGATGCAAAGCGGCGACAATAGAAGCCACACTAATGCAACCCAGGTAACACAATCCTGTTTCAAACACACGGGCTGGGCTAATTACAGCGCCGCTGAGTCAAGTTTCTTACGCCATCATAGCCCACAGGAACAAGTCAAAATCAAGTGTTATTCAAACCACAGTCATATCAACCTTCTATATCAGCGTCACAGCTTAAAAACCAAATGAAAAAGTTAAAAGCTTTAACCCATTCACAAGCAAAAAAGTGTTTTCATCGCAGGTGGCAAGGTAAGGTTCTTGTCATCATTTAAACCAAAAGAAACTGTGTGGCAGGACAAAATGTGTATAGTCTCAAAGTTCTGGGGGCTCTTTGAGATGGTCCTTTGATCAGAATATTTTTTAATAAAAGGATAAGAAAAATGAGCATTAAATAAAGAATGGTATTTTGAAGAGGTATATAAATGAGACAAACAGCATAAAGGTTATATTTATTTTGGACCTTACTCATTTGAAGACTTATCTTCCAGTGCAGAAAAAGCAATTACATGAACGTCATATCTGCTCTCGAAGATAAACATGCTGCCCTAATTCTATAGCCAGCATACAATGTCACTGTGCATTGCATTTTCCCATCTTTTAACTTTGAATCAATTTACTCTTCCTTAGATCAAGTAAAAGTATATTTTAGTGAGTAACAGTTAGAGATACTTAATTAAAATATCCAAATAAAATGTAACTTTTTATAAAACTACTTGGCAATCAATATTAAGCTAAAGCATCAAGAATAACATAAGGGGGCTGGAGATGGCTCAGTAAAATAAGCGCTTGCCTGGCAAGCACAAGGGCCTGAGTTCCATCCTTGGTTCTGTCAAAAAAAAAAAAAAGGAATAACATAGGGCAAAGTCAACAATCTTGGCCACTCAGCATGAGAAAGCAAAGTAAGAGTCTGTTATCTTTAACCAAGAATATGATCAATGCAGCCCAAAACAGTTGAAGAATTTGAAAAAATGGGTCCCCCTCTTGGGTGTCGTTGTTCTTGTCAAAAATCAACATTACGAAAACCCCAAAAGAGACTCTTGTTTGACTGTTGATTTGCTCTATGGGAAGCTCAGTCAGTCATATCTGCCCGACTTTCTCCAGCTAGTAGAGGCTGCTAGCCCTTTTCCTGGCTGACAGTTGACAATATCTGTACAGCCTCCAGGCCATTTACCTCTTAGTGAGTAATGCCATGTAACAAATGGTTTATCATACATGTTTCCATACAATGAATTTCAATAATTAAGATGTAAAATGAATATTTGGAATGCGATTCTGCATAATGTGTGCACACACTGACTCAAAATTGCTCTGAACAACTAAACCAGATTTATTGTTCTATAGTGATTTACTTGGTCATGTCAGATTAGTAATATGGATCTGTTTAAAAACATAATAATTAAGACAAGCAGGATAAATTAATCAAGTTACAATACAGTATGAGCTGCAATCAAACCCGGGAAATAACAGTAGAAAATCTTGGTTCACAGATCTCTTTAAACTGCTTTTATGCATAAATAAAACCTTAAAATGTAGATGGATTACATCCAACAGAACTACTGTAGCTAAAAGTGATAATGATTCAAACATTTTTCAAATAAAAGTTAAATATTTATAAGCACCCAACCACATTTCATAAATCACAAACTATTATTATTTTATTTCTGAAGCTTCCTGGCACAGCATGAGGATTGAGCCACAGAAAGTCAGAAATGAAAAAAAAAAAAAAATTCCTTTAGGAGCATGAACCAGACCCAAAACTGGAGTACTCCACGAAAAAGGCCTCCAAAGAGTATCCCATATGGCTTTCCCAGGACTCGCAAGCCGCCAGCACAGCGCAAGTCATGACCAACAGACAAATCTCGGCCACCAGGCAGGTGTTTCATCAGAGTAAAGAATAAAAATCCAGTGAAAGAAGAGTGGTCCCTACCTGTCAATTATCACTGGATCTGAAGGAGTCTCGTTTCGGTTGCCACAGCTCTTCTTGTCACAACAGCGGCTATGGAGCAAAAGCGAAAGGATTTAGCACAGCCATTACAATGTAAAATCATCATTTAGGCAGACAGAAGGTTCAAATTGCTGGGTTGTAAATGCTAGAATGACCACAAAGCCATACCTGGCAATCAACGGATCCCTGGGACAGAAAATTCTATTTGGGTCACCTATGGGTTAATGGCCAGGCTTAACCTCTCCCTGCTCAGAGTGGGCAGGAAGGACCAGGGTTCTCCCGGAGCCAGGAGTGACAGCCCTACGATGGGGTCTCTCCATCGCTGCCTGCGGTGTTGGCAGAGTTCAGTGTGAACTGTGTATTATTATTCCATCTACCGAATAAGAATATTCAGGGTTGTGGGCGGCTCAAATGCTCTCTTCCCACAAGATCACACTAATTTTGTGAAACGCATCAATAATGAGGTTTGAGTGATTTCTCCCCCTACAGTTATTTTGTATTAAATGGATTCCTTCTAGTTCTCTGTTCTCTTTCATGGGTGGCGTTTCCTTCAACCACAGCCCTCCCCCAAATCCTACAGTGCTAAGTGTTTGCTTCTGAACTGTCTTCATGTGAATAAAGAGTTCACAATAAAGAAGACAAGGAAGAAATAACATAAAAGAAAGCAGTCCTCTGACTATTAAGATCAGCACTGGGAACCTCTCAAGTTTTCTGAATGCATTATGGACAGTGGATCCAGTGATTAACACTGCCATGATCTGTTTATTAGGTCACAGGCAGAACAGCTACGGCTGCAGTAAGCACCTGCTACAAAATTCCCACCCAGCTGTGACCTCACAGGGGCCAGCATTTTTCAAACTGAGGTTCTAAAGTATGAAAACTTTGTGTTTTTGAAACATACCCACAATAAACAGAAAACTATCCATCTGACAGTTGATAGGAAAGAACGTGTGTCCCTTGTCTGGTCTACACCCTGGGGTACACTATAAAAGCATATACTTAATCAAGCAAGAAGGTAACGAGGTTATCCAAGGGTTAGACTTTACCATGCACCACCAGTGGAAACAGTACCTTTCCATGCCCTCTTACACACACGTGGACACACACACATGTATGCTTGAGACATGGTGACTCATACAGCCTAAATTTAGAGAGCTGCTGGAGGGAACCAATACTGGACTACATTTTCAGGACCCAAAAATATAGTCCTGCACAGGGAGCCTTTCACCAAGATTGGGAAGCCTCCTTCCTTGCCATAACTATAGCTCTAGAGGAGAACCAGCTTTGAGACTTGGCACCGATTCCTCCAAGAACAGTGTTAAAACGGTATCTGTTTTGTCAGCAGCCCAGCTAAAACACCACCCCATCCACCTGGTAGACATGCCCTTCCTAGTTCACAGGAAACTATGTCCTCCAGGCCTGAGGTCTGCTATGCCAGAATATTGTACACAGAAAGCCCAAACTATGTAAGTATCTGAGAAATAAATAAAGAAATAAAGGAGAAGGGCACACTCATTGTTGGAATGCGTGCAGAAAAAAAAAAAAAGTTTAAAAAGTAAACACAGTCACCTACATCTGCATTTCAAAGGCTCTCCAGAAGAGCTAGGGGTTTAAAACTCTGGCTCTGGGACCAGACAGAACTACCACTATCACCCTGAGCAGCGTACTCCACCTCATAATCTCTGTTTTCTATTTTGTATGTTGGGGTAATTGTGGCACCCACGTCTAAGTGTCTAAGATGTCATGCCTTGATGGTGCAAAGCCTGAGCTCCATGGCTAGCCCTACTGAGAGCTCAGGGAAGCACGGCATCCTTACTGTTCCCTGTGTCTCCTGAAACTACCTCCTTCCCCACATCCGAGCAGCCTCGCCAGGCGCCCTGAGGATAAAGCAGGCAGCCCATCAATAGATCCCAACTCCATTACACAGGGAGGAAAACTGCTGGATACAAAGTCCTATTTCTACTTTGTTTTCTTTTACAAAGACATCAAGTGAGCAATGCAAGTTCCTGGGTGCTGTACGCTCACCCTGGACCTGCCTGAATGAAATACCCAGAAGAGACTCTTCTAACTTGCTTTGATGTTAGAGGAATCCACCTCTCTAGCCTAACCAAGTCTCTTCCTCCTCGTTGTCCCTGGCCTTGTGCTAGTCACATTCACTGTTCTCTTGGATCCTGCAGAAGCCTCCCGCCTGCATCGTTGCTGGTACTCTGACCCCTCCAAAATATCTTTTCATATGTCCGTTGGACTGTGTCACTTCATGGTCACAGACATTTCGTAGCTCCCCAATCATTTATAATAAGCTTGTGATATGGTATGATGAACGCCACCTTCTAACCTCCTGCCCTTCCTATCAGCTCTCCAAGCTCCGGGATATATTATGCTTGCTCAAGCATTGGGTCAAGGCCCAGTTACTCTCTCACTGCCCACCAACCTCCAACTCTTCCCTCACCTACTAAGCTCTCCCATCCCTTGAACTCAGTGTGACCCCCTTCTTCAGAGATGGTTTCTCTGACACCCTGCCCTTATCTAAATTAGAGTACCCCTGGGGTGTTTTCTTTTGAGGCACTTGACAAAATGCAAATGAGCGTCATATATGTATTTTTTGTTAACTTCTTATCCCCTTCAACTCATATAGCTAGGAAAAAAAGAAATAGCCAATTTTACTTACCAAATGAGTAGCCTAACACCTGAGATAGACTAGAAAAGCTCAAATATTAAATGACTCAATGACTTCATGACTGAATATGATGTACTAAGAAGAAATGATAATCCAGAAAGAAAAGAGGGGGACAGGTAAAGGAGGCCAAGCTGACCCTCACACCAGATGCCACTGATGAAAGGAAGGCACACTCCACTCCATCCCCTGAGCCACACCACCTCCCCCAGTCAAGTGCCACTCTAGGCCTGAGATGTGCTCTTTGACTTTGGAATAGTCTTCATCTTTTTAAAGTAAAAATTCCCCTGAAGACAGCAAGATGAAATTAGTCACACCTCTACGCTGTGCCCCTGGAGACCCAGGGAAACAGGCAGGTGCAAAAAATGGAAGTGTGGAAAGAAGCACAGAACAGAAATAAAACAGGGAAAACAAAGAAATCAGAAGAAGAACATGGACCAGGGATCACGTAACAAGCAGGAGCACCAGCTCGGGCTAGACTGGTGGTGCGCATCTGCAGTCTCTGCTGCTAAGGATGTAGCTCAGAGCTCCAGGCTCAATCCCTATAGTCTCAAAAAGATAAAAATTAAAAACTCAACAAATTTTCTGTGTTGTGGGGTACTCTAATCTAATTTTAAGATAAAAATAAAAAACTCAACAAATTTTCTGTGTTGTGGGGTACTCTACTGCATTACGTACTCATTATTCCTAAAATAGGGTCATCAAGCTTTAGTTTCATACCTGAGAAGCCACAAAATTGGTGTCTGCAGTTGATCCAATAGCAAACATGGGACCACATTAAAAAAAAAAAAAAGGGCCAGTGAGATAGCTCAGCAGACTAAGCACCTACTTTGGCAAGTACAGGGACCAGGGCTCGATCCCTCCCCAGTCCCACACGCTGCACTGGCCCTGCCTCCAGAATGCACTGAGCCAGTGACACCATCTGGGCCTGGTGGCGCACACCTGTAATCCCCAGTGCTGGGGAGGCTGAAAACAGGAAGCTCACCATGGGACCGGGGAGATAGCTCAGTGGAATAAGCACTTCCCTGGCAAGCACAAGGGCCTGAGTTCAATCCCCTGTTCCGCCAAAAAAAAAAAAAAAAAAAAAGGAAGCTCACCATGAGTCTGAGCTTCATAGTGAGACTCTGTACCAAATTCATATATATATATATATATATATATATATATATTCCGTAAGATATATATATATAGTTCATAGACAGATCTTAAAGCATATGTGCACATGCACATATATCTGTCAGATAGATAGGTAGATAGATAGATAGATAGATAGATAGATAGTTAGATAGATATCCATATTCAGGGACTATATTGTATTCTGTAGACTATTAAAAAGAATAAAAGTGGGGAAGTGATGCACTACTAAGAAAGGGAATCTGCATTACATTGTAAATTGAGAAAAGTAAACTGGAGAAGAGCACGCATGCCATGGTCCTTTTCTTGAAGAAAAATGAACACATGAAAGAGAAGACAGAATTTTTCACAAATCTGGTTCATTTCCCACTTCCCAGGAGTCTAAAGAGTGCTAGTGCTTTTGAAAGGCCCACCCTGACTTCCATAGTGGCCTCAAACTTCTCATCGTGCCCCTTTTTTCTTCACACAAGTCATTATGTTGTAGTTCATGTCTGTGTTCCTTTACGGTCTCTCTCGCACTAACATAAGCCCCACAGGGACAGATAGAGCCTTCGATTGCTTGGTCCTTCCCCACATCCTCAGCAACAGGAACAGAGCCCATAATAGATCCTCAGAGCCTGGTATAGAGTAGGCCTTCAGAAGTTATGTTTTAAATTAATAAGAACTTCAAAGAAGTAAACTATAGAAAGTGGAACAGGCACTAGGGAGACTGAAGGACATACATTTTATTTTGATGCTTCTTCAGTATTCTTCTTTGTGTTAAAATACTACCTTCCCATTAAAATATTAAAATTCAGCCACAAGAAGAAGGGAAATCCTTCTGAAGAACGTGCTGACATTATCCTGTAACTTCACGCTCACTTCGGCAGCACATGTGCTTGCAACTTCCTAGCACCAATCAGAGCAAGGATGGGTCCTCCATCCTCATGGAAGTCTTTCCTGCTCTGTGAGTTCCCCCTTCTACTAAACTCAGACCAAAAAAGACAGGCCCTTGTCTCCACTACACATGAGACATGTGCTAACTAGGAGGAACAGACTGAAAGAAGATGTTCACAAATTGCCTCAGGGTAGACTGAGGCTCAGACTGAAACAATCCAATAAATGAAACAGTTGCAAAAACACTGACATGAAAATTCCTGTATTACTAAGAGAAAACATGGAGATCATCAATAATGTCCTCCTTATCCCAGAACCAAGGCCTTCAGCGTCAGCCATCTGTGTACCTGGATGGACTTTGTGTATGCTCCTTGAAGCGGGCATTTATTTTAGGACTTGGAACTTCCCTGATTTGCTTTGTCATCACAGCAAGATTCCAGGCACCACCACCATTCACTTCCCTTCCCAATCCACAACCTAAGGGGCAGGAGAGCCATGTGGCTAGTCACAGCAGGATGTCCCCCACACCTGGGGTGGTACAGACACTGTAGACTCAAAATAGTAGTCCTGTCCCCAGCTGGATCATGTGTCACCCAAACAACTCTGCACATTCAGAGAAATCAAGTTTCTAGGTAGTGAATTTCGTGAGCTAACCCACAGCTTCATGAAAGGACAAGGAACATGTTCTCTTTCTATTCTTCCATGCCTGCCAAGCCTATCGAAGCCCATAGCTTCAATTCTCACCTTTGGGAAGATAACTTGAGGTTAGTTATCTTTGACCCTGACTTCTTCCAAGCTCTGGGCCATCAGCCCACTCCACTGCAGCCTCCCCTCAGAGAAATCTTGCCTGGGCCACCAAAAAACACTTCTTCGTGCACCTTTGGGTCCTCCTCTCACTCCATTCGTGCTGCAAAGACTCTCCTGCAACTATGTCACCCCTCCTCCATGTAGGCCTTGTGCCTCAGTCTTGTATCACAGTCTGCCCCTTCTAGAGACAACTGTAGTCATTTGCTTACAAGACTCAGCTCCCAAGCTAGACCAAAGCTCTCCTACTAGGGGATCCAAGGTCTTCTGACTTTTCTTCCACAAGGCTTTGCACATAGTAGGTGCTAAGGAATGAATAGACATTCTTAACCGTCACAACTAGAAGGAAGAAAGTGCACTCCTGTTTTAGTGGACCCTTCCTTTGAATATTCCCTTATCATTTACTCTAAGCAACAATGTACCAAGTAACTAGACAGTACACATATTGCTGCTACTGTTTCTATTAATAACAATAGGCATTCAATACTGACTGCGTCAGGTATTGTGATAAGCTTATGTAGTAACTGTAACATTTAATTTTAGCTACCACTCTATGGTAGATAAGTAATATTAAAACCCAATTTCATACATGAGTCATAAAGCACAGAGGAAAAAAAAATCAAGTAACTTCCTCGCTTTCAAGGAACTTAGCCCAGGAAAACACGACAGGCTGTGAGGACAGCACCGCAGGGCACAAGGACCATGAAGGAAAAGCACAGCATACACAGGATCGCATGGAAAGGACCGGTCTCACACCGCGGGCCACTGTGCTTCCCTCAGAAGCCAGGGTATTTGAAACTTAGGAAAAGCAGAGCGAGGGGCTAGGCTAGTGCTGAGAACTCCTGACCCTACCAGAAACCAGGCACTGACAACGGACACAAGCACTTTCTTCAAGAGAGTACTGGTCCCCGGCAGTGATTGTCCAGTGCACCATAAATGGAGAAAGCCCATCTCCTGCAGCCCACTTAGGAACTGGGAACTAGGTTCACCTCCCAAGCAGAGTTCCTATTGTCCATTCATGTTTAAACACAGGTTTTCAGGATCCCCTCATAATCAAATCTCTTAGAGACCCCTGTATAGGATCTAAAACATTCCCTCAGGAGACCACATTATTTGCAGAACTTCACAACCAGATATAAGTGAAACATAATGATAACTGGGGTGATAGACTCCAACTCCCCTAAAGGCAGGGACAGTCCCAGAATCCTATGGAAGGGCTCCCAGCCAGCGAGTCAAAGGAGGGTTTGTCTAAAAATTGTAATTCAATGGTGGCAATTCCTTGGGCCAGCGTGTGCAAAGGAGTCACTTTCTCTATAGAATAAAATGAGATTTTAAAATTTGCAGCAACTGAGATGTGACTCTCTGGTGATTTTTCCAATTTCTTTTTTCTTTTTTGTTTCCCTGCAACAAAACAGAACCACACCGAGCCCTTTCTTATCTATCTAAATTCTGTCTCCTTTACCATGCCCAACATACTATAAATATGCAGCTTCTGTGACATCAACACAAAGTTTTATTGTGCTGTTAGCTTTGATAGAAAGCACGGCAGAAAGTTGTTTAGAAATTAAATATCTAAAATAGGCTATTTTAAAATCCAGGGGCCTCACTATTTCATGTCTGCAATGAAGAAATTTCATCTTGGGGAGAGCAAGCTGTCTTTCACACCATATGGCTAATGGTGGTGCATAGCAATTAGCCAGGCTGATTAATGGGGAACAGACTCTAATTTTATGCTTATAATTGAGCCTGCATTTGCACCCCTGGTGCAAATTCAGCACATCCCAACTTCCACTTACAACAGGCAAGAAATCAAGAGAAATAGGATGGTGTGGAAAGTGAGAATTTTTTTTTTCCTAAAGCCCCCTAAAGAGCATCAGATTTGCAATTTAAAAGACTGTTAGCCACACAATAGATGACAGGTTTGTGTAATGGGGTCATGGCGGCCTGGTAAACAAACAAGTACCCCATCCACAGCTATAGGCAGCCAGCAGAAAAGGTAATCTGTAACATTAGTTGGATGACATTCTGAATATGGGTTTTCCCTTTAAGCCACGCGGTACAGACAGCATCATTTGCCTTCAGTGGCTTGAAATTTTTATTTTTGCTATTTTTATGTTTCTGAAAAATAGAGGTAACATGAGCAGTAAAGCACACCAACCAGCATAATAAAGCACTTTGGACCGATGAATTTTAAAAACAAGAAAAATATAAGCTGCATTAATATAGGGTAGGCCTGTGTGTGGAAGGCATAATATATCTTTAAGTATTTCAGGAATAGAATTATTTCTAGCATAGTCGAAACATGTGCAGACATGAGATGCAAACCCAGGATCTGCAGATATTATTTGGCTTATTGGTTAAGATCTGTCCTCCTGTCTAGCGCCTACTTTGCTAGAATCCCATGTAGTGGGACATGGGCAGTTCAGTCTAATGGCATGCTAATTATAGGAAGTTAAAATAATAGAGTTGATTGAAAAAATACTGAGACAAAGGAAACTATGTCTCAGTGCTTTTCAAAATGAGTTTTAGTCATTTAATTCTGAAAGGTACAACTCAATTTTATCAAATAATTGTTACATAAAGTATAACCCTAATTTTTGCCTAGGAAAATAAGAATTCCATGACCAGAATTTTGGGTTCTGTCACAGCTTCAAAGTCAGAGAAAAACAACCTGTTTTGGGAATAATTAGCGAGTTTTATAAATCACTGGAGTGAAAACTTGTGACACTCCTGCATATTTTAAAAGAATATATGAGAAGTATTCTTTAAAGGGGGAAAAAATGAAATTTTTATAGACATAGAAGTTAATATTTGGGATTTTACTCAGGAAGCCTACTAAGCCCTTTTGACTTTATTTCCACCTGTAGAGTTTTAAGATTGCTTTCCTCATGGCCGTGAGCAGCAAATAAAGGCCACCCATGCCGCGGTGGCAGCTGAGGTCCTAAACGGATTGGTCAGAAATAGTCAGCAGCCGAGAACGCTTTGTGCCAGGAAAAGCTGCATGGCTAACAAAGCAATTAGTAGCCTTTCTCTGATGCACAGTGGCATCTTCATGCTTCATCCAATTACCCCGAATATACTGGGAGCAAAGCGCTGGTGTCATTTTATGAGAATAAGAAAGCAACTTAAAGGCTCCTCCCTGGTCCAGTCTCTTGCATGTGGAGGCCTAGCTGAAGCCAAGGAGGTCAGTGTGGCCCACTTGCCTGATTTCTAACGTAGTTTCTGTCAGATTACAGACAAAAATAAAAATCCTTGTTTTTAAAAAATATTTATTTATTTAGATACAGGGTCTCGCTACGCAGTTGAGATTCATAGTGATCCTCCTGTCTCAGCCTTCCCAGCGCTGAGATTATAGACATGCACCACTACGCCCAATTCCAGGGCCAACACAGCATGAGGTACCAGGGATTGAACTTCAGTCTTGCGCTTGCCAGGCAGGTGCTTAGAGCGCCGAGCTATCTCCTCAGACCCCTGAAACACTCACTTCTAATATGATTTTTTTTTAATTTTTCATTATGTATTTATTTATTTTGAGACAGGATCTCTCACTATGCAGTCAGTCGAGGCTCACCTTGAGTTCACTTGTAGCCCAGGCTGGTCTTGGACTCACAACAGTCCTCCAGCCTCAACCTCCTGAGTCCTGGGATCACAGGCGTGCACCACTATACCCAGCTTTAATACAAATTTTTATACTTTTCAGGAACTCATCTTTGCCAACCTTGCAAAAACACAAAACTCACTGTCTCTAAGAAATATTAGCTGTACTGTTGGTTATGCACAGGCTAACTAGGAAACCAAATGCAAGGGGTGGGAGGAGAAAGCAAAGAAAAACATCACATTCAGTGTGAAGGGAAATGATGTGGGTGTGAATGGGCATATTTCTAAGAGAATTAAAAATCATAATTTTCAACTTTGCCCAACAGAGGCCTTGGCTGACTTCAACAGAACTCTCACTCATTTTACTGGCAAAGTCATGGAATCCCTTTATTAACAATAAAATACCTGTACTGCATTTCATTCATTTGTAAAAGAAAGAGGAGGAGACCATTAACAGGTAATATCAGAATGGAAATAAACATCTTTCAGCATAAAGTCCAAGAAATAATTTAGAACTACTGTGATACCTGACCCTTGAGTATCAAGTACTCATATCTAACGATTCTTTCAGATCATCTACTAGAAGACAAATGTATAACCAAAAATAGACCCAAGTTTGTCTAAATGTGAAGTACAAATTCATCTTCTCTTTGCTGATGAAAGAGGAAGACTAGGTATTTCTTACCTGCACATGATCTCATGCGTGAGTAAGACTCGGCACATTTCGGGGTTCTTGTCTTGGCCTTCATACACTATGGCCTGAAAGCAAAGGCATGGTTTCAGCTAGGTAGCAGAACACAAAGTATAACTCTTAAGTTGTTGACCCATCCGTCACTGCTGAGGGCCAAGGAGCTTTTGGGAGCCAATTGCCTCTCTGAGAGAACTGCTTCAAAATATATGGCTCAACATCCACCCAAAGGGAGTAGGAGAGAGGATGAGCCCCTCCGCACCACGGCTACCCTTTCAGGGTACGCATTTCCAGATCTGCATGCTAGCTTTCTGTTGTCAAGACAACCATAATTCTCCTTTCAATGGAGAATAAAAATAAGCCTAATCAATACAGAGAAATAAGCCAGAAGGCTGAGTAGCTCAAGATACTACTGATCCAGAATGTAGAGCCGCAGCAAGCTTAGTATTTAAATGAAATGTGTTTCCCTCCTCAGTTTCCTACTCCCAACCCCAACATTTAGCTTTTTCATGGTTAGCAGTGGAAAACAAGTGTGGGTGAAACAAATGAGTCCATCCACTCACTGTGCCATCTTTCTAAGTGATTCATCAACCAGGGAAAATCCCTCTTCCCACCAGCAGGTTGACACATGCGATCTCTAGGGGCCTACACCCACCCAAGCAGGAGCGCTCGCCAGCCTGGGCTGTGTGGGAGCTTGGAGTCATGGGACTGTCTCCCTAAACTAAGGAGAATTATGTCTCGCTCTCAAAATCTGGACTTCCAAACCCCTCAGTAGTCTTCGTACATTTTACACAAAATATTTGAACCCATTTTTTTTTATATTCTGTGCACAAACATTTAGCTTCCAGACACCCAAGAAGTCTTCCGAGAGCTCCACTTCCTACGGACCTACATGTTAATACCTGAGCAACAAAATGCACACATAGCTGTTAGCAGAGCCACGCGCTGCAGTGGGACACATTTAGCTGATTTAACACTGTATCGCTGCATAGCACTAATATAACACACTTCAAATTGTTAATAAAATTACTTTCACACATTCATATAACTTTCAACTTCTTGGTGACAAAACTACTTCAATTAACCAGAGACTGTGCTTAGGTAGCATGTAAAGATGCTACAGAGACTGTTGTTGGTTCTCATGAGCTCTGTTTTTGAACCTGAGATTTCCAGTGGCTGTCTGATGGGTACGGCTGGTGGTCCAGCATATCTAGCTGTTCGGATCTGGCTCGGAGGATGACATTTGAATGCAGGGCCAAAGTTGGCAACAAATTAAGCATTAAGGAAAGGAACTTGCTTGAGGAGAAAACATTACTATCATCCATCAAAACCATTTTTATGGCTAGCCTATTATAATCCCTTATTGTTTAAAAATATTTTTACTTTGACATATTGCTAAGCATATGAAAGAGTTGTAAGAATATTCAACAAAGTCTACCATGTTCATATTCACATTCCTGAAAGGTATTTGTGCTCTATTATGTTTGTTTGTTTTATTCTTTTCTTTTTTTCCCCCCTAAATCACCTTTCAGTAAACTGCAGGCCTGTCCTTAATATTTCAATGTATTTCCTTCAAACATACAACCCTCTTATATAGCCACTACAATGATCTAATTCAGAAAATTAACATTGATACAATAATCTAATCTCCAGGCCTTATTGATACTTATCAATTGCCCAATAATGACCTTTGCAGCAAAAGAAAATCCAATACTAATCATTATATTGATTTGTTATTTATCCTTTAAAATGGAACATTCTGGAATCTTTTTTTAATTTGCAACATCTTTGAAGAAGACAAGTTAGTTATTTTGTAGACAACCCCACAGTTTGAGCTTTCCTGGCCACAGAGTAAAGTCCTGTCATTCGGGAACGCTGGGTGGTAGTAGGGAGCTCCTGTGTGTCAGGTCTTCTTGGCCATTAGCTCCAGGGCTAGCAACGTAAACTTTGACCATTTGTCTAAGGTGATGCTGGGTCTTCACAGAGAGCACCAGCCAGGTTTTCCACTACACAGTTTTACTCTTGTCTACGCAATTCATATCTATCTTCTAGCTTTAACATGTATAGATGATTCTCTTGTATTCTTGTTTTGTTTTGTGGTTTTTGTTGTTGTTGTGGGGCATTTTGTTTTGTTTTGCTTTGTTTTGTTTTAGTTCGGTCTGGTTTCAGATGGGGTCTCATTACTGCCTCAACATCTTGAGTGCTGGGATTATAGGTGTGTGTACCACCAACCCAAGCTTTTTTTTTTTTTTTTTTTTTTTTTAATTTAAGACAGCATCTACAGGGTTTCACTACTAGATTGGACTCGAGTAATCCTCCTGTTTTCAGCCTCCCAAGCACTGAGATTACAGGCGCACACCACCAAGTCCAGTCTCAATGGCTATCTCAGCGCACCCCAGGGGTGGGGCCTGAACAGCACACCATGGATTGAACCCCGGCTGCTGAGCTCTGCCTAAGCAAGTGCTTTAGTCTGCTGAGCCATCTGGCTGGCCTTCCTTGTATTCTTAAAAGACCTTCTCAAATATCCAAAAAGTTGCTTTACTCAAAAAATGCATTAATTAAAAATGTACTGAAAATCAAAAATCAGATCTGCTTGTTATATTTCCCGCAATCACTGTTTGGAAATTATTTTTAAAGTAAATTACTGATTGGATCTAACACATGGTGCTAAAAAAAATTTTAATGACGCATTTCTGCAAAATGCTGTTACTACAAACTTGTTTGTATGTTCCCTGAACGCTCCAGATAACCTCTGCTTCAACTTTTGCATTCGTCTTGCCAAACTAAAAAAAGTAGCTTGGTAAATAAATTCATACATATGGGTGAGTTTCTCCCAACTGTCAAAAAAAAAGTGAAGTTTGGAGGATTTGGGGGTAGTGAGTTACGTCAGAGCTTCTCATTTTTATTATTTTAGATAGTACGGATATTATTTTTACCGGAGCTACTGGTCCCATGATATTATCCAATTAACGATCTGCTGCAATACAAATCTGCTCAAGACTCCCCCCAGCAGTGGATGAAATGGACTTGCTGGACTCCCATATTTTTCATTCGTAACTGAGCATCATTTGTCCAAGGCCCAGAGCCTCTGCAATGCACCTCCTTACCAAATACCAATCTGCCACTTCGCTTCTGGCAGCAGAGTCAAAACAGAGAATCTTTCTCCAAATCAAGCATAGAAAAATGAAACCAGGAGTTTGGATTTGCTCCGAAAGAATTAGGAACTCTGGGGAGGGTTGCAAGCCTGAAGTTTCTGCTCTCCTTATCCTTAGGCCTAGACAGAACAATTTTCTCACCACATAAAGGCAGAGAAAAAAGGGTTGCTCCTGTGACTTCTGAATGAAAAGCAAGTGAAACCCCATCACAGACTAGGATTAAAACCCCGAAACTATGGTGAACTAGAGCCTCAAGTGATAGCCTTCGTGTGGAACTCAAAGGCAAGGCACCTCCAACGTCATCCAAGCTATTTATTAGGAAAGCTTTTTAAAGCATACAGAGAATGCATGCGCCCAGAAATCAACATTCTGATGAGATCCAGAATAGGAAAATATGATTAATCTACACAGACAAACATCTCTGATGCAGAGTCACAACAGCAAGACAGATTTAAAAACAGAAATTCTCCGAAGGTCTCCTTCAGCCTTGATCCAATCTCTACCACTTACACTTAGCACGCATGTCAAGATCGGTTCACAGCTCAGCAAAGCCAGGCTGTAACCCAAAAGCATACAGAATCCTCTAACATTAACTTAGGACAAAGTTTCTGCTTTTCTTCCTAATTCAAATCTGTGCTTCTGTGGGGAATGAGGGAAGCTGCCTGAGGTTGGGTCAGCTGGGAGATCCCAGGAGTGTATGAGACAGCATTGACTGCTTTAAGTGAAACCATTTTAATAGACAGCTGGTTTAGGGCCAGACAATGGAGCACCAAGAAGAAGGCTTATTGTTGTCCTCCATAGTAAATCATGCATCTGCTCCCTGGGAGGAAGGCACTCGGCTGCGAGTGCAACAAAGACGACAGTAGTTTAAATAAATCAATGTGTTTATCAGGAGTGAAGATGGAGATCTGCTACAGAAATGGGCAAGAGAGAACAGAAATTATACAGAATGTATTATTAATATAAGTCAATTGGTGGAGAATCAAGTTGAGCTTTGTACTCTAAGGAAGAAAAAATACAATTTCATGTTGAAAACGGTGTTCACATTAACCCTGCCAATGGCAAATAAATCGCTTAGGCAGTAAGAACGCCCGCTTGTATAGGAAGAAATGTAAAGGAGTAAGCAGCCATGACTTCACCTCAACTTGAAGAACTTATGTGATACTGATAACAAAAAAAATGTGTCAAAACTGAACATATTTTGTGCAGCTTTATTTTCTGATTAGTGGCCTCCTTTTTCTGAATGTTGTCCACCAAGAAGCAGACAGAAAATACAGGCATTGCACATTGCTTTTTAACATTCTCTTAACTTTCAGGTTGAGTTTTTTCAAGAAATATTTTAAATAATTAACTAAAAAAAGAAAAGCATGAGTTGTTAAAATTTTCACATCCTGAGGTAATAATAGTGGATATTTTTCTGTTAGTGGACAAAATGCTACTGATTTCAAAGATTCTATAATAAATTAATCTGCAACATCTTTAAATAAAAATTAGTCAGGTAACCAATACGCTAAGGTGCCCCAGTTGCCACTGTTTTAGAAGCCATCTTTGAAGTGTAGGCTTATCCCTGTTTTTCTAAAATATCACTAGTTCTTAAAAGTTAAGTGAAATCCGCTATGGTTAAAGACCACTCTGTAAAACAAAAAAATAGACAGTGAACATACGCTGAGCCCAAACTTCAACAGGATACCAAAGGAAGTACACAAAACTGAACGTGGATTTTCTGTTTACTTTTCTAACAGTGTTAACCCTTTGTGTGCCATGCCAAAATAAAGGAAGCACAGAGAACATTTTTGACTTTGGTTCAGCAAAATGTTTTTAGACACAAAATATTTCCATTAGGAGTCTTTTGTTTGTTTGTTTGTTTGTTTGTCTGGAAGCAAAAAATAGAAGACTTGCCACTTTTAATTGTCAAA